CATCTCCACTGGTGCAGCAAAACCAGTTTGTTGAAGGAAATACTCGCATTCCCGGAGATGCGACATCGAACGTCATTACTGTTAACTTGATGTTGCTACCAAACACGAACGATCCTCCTTAAGCAATCGTTATCGAAGACAAAAAGACAACGCGTCTTCCACATGAATCTGCCAGGACTCGCTTCCATACAGCTATACTGAGCGAATAGATACGCTGTAAACACGGCTCTAGCGAGAATGAGACTTCGCGACGACGCCACAAGTGCCTCCGCTTGGCAAATGCTGATCGGGCTTTAGCGATGCGCAGAGAAACATCCTTGCTGGCAGTGCCGTCGGCAGAAACACAGCTCCCAAGGTAGACGAAACTATTTACCTGTTCAAGTTGTGCACCTTCAAGAGTGAGCACGGGAGCAGGTGAGAGCCAATACTTGAGCAGTACTTTACACTTCGATTGGGCGAAGCTCATGCCATACTTAGATGCTTTACCCTCCAAATGATCGAGAATGAGTTGCATACCCTGAGGATCGTCACCAAGTAAGGCGATATCATCAGCATAATCTAAGTCGGTTGCGCGCTCACCCGGCAGAAGCTCTAGGCCAAAATTATAGAAACCTAGAGCACTCGACAGAACGTCTTTAATTGCGACTTTGGAGAGGAACTGGGACATAGGGCAGCCCTGTCGCACACCGCTATTGACAGCGAATTGCGAGGAAAGCTTGCCATAGACCCTCACTCTGCCGAAGTTATAAAGTAATCGTAAAATGACGGTATATTACTCTGGCCCCCGTTCTTTAGCAAGCAACGTCATAAAGCAAGTCGAATCCGCGTAGGGGTGGGCGTCCTCGCGGTATACTAAGCCCGCGCGCGACTAGTGGTGGTCGCGCGGCAGCGAAGCGCCGTTACGGCGTATAAGCTGACACCTTTTTTTTAAGTCGATCAACGGAGTCAAAATCGGCACGTATGTGGGCCTGTGATAAATGTGGCGATGTTCGAGGAGCTGGCGGAACGTGAAGATTTGATCCACGCATCCGCGGACGGGACAGAAACCAACTTGTTCTTCACGGTAGGATGATTCACGTTTCGGGAATAGTCTATGGAGCAGAATGGATGCCAATAGCTTGGAGACAACCGAAATAAGACTAATCCCGCGATGATTTACACATGAAGTGCCAGCGCTTTTCTTGAAAATCGGGACAATAACTGATTCGCCCCAAGAAGAAGGCACTTTCTCTTCATGCCAGCTTTTTGCGTACAGCGAGGTAAGCTGGTTAATGATCGTCACGCCGCCGTACTTGAACAGCTCTGGAGGAAGTCGGTCTGAGCCGGTGGCCTTGGACCGCTTTAGGTGTCGAATTTCGAGGTAGACTTCTGCTTTGCTGGGTGGATTCAGAGGGACGAGCCAGGGTGGAAAACAAGGTGTACTGCATGTACTGATGGACGGTGGAGGCCAGTTGAATTGCGAGTGAAAGTGCTGGGCTCAACGCTCCATACGCCTCTATTGGTTGCTGATCGGAGACTCACCCACCTCGCAAACGACCTCAATGACACCAGGCTTCCTGAGGCAAGTGGACCGAATGAGTTGGAAAAGCTTAAGAGTATTGCCAGAGAGGGCACCTGTCTCCATCTCTAAAGCACTCACAGACCACCATGCCTCGCGATCCTTGCGTAGGCTATGTTTGAGTAGCCGGTTGGCAGAATGGCGCCGCTCGTTGCAATCTGAATCCGCCGGGATAACTTTACGACGTTCGAACAGCTCCAGAGAACGAGCAGAGATCCAAGCCTTTAAGGGACGTCAAGCTAGTTCGCAGCTTGACTCTCCGGAAATTGTCATCGTTTTCTGTATACAAGTCCGGTGTCGCTCCACCTCTTGCGGTGGATTGTAACTGAGTGTATATGCCAGTGAAGACTAGCTCGCCTGGACAGAGGAATCAGTTAATCTGTTTACATCAATGTTTCGGTGCTTCGTCTTTCGGGGCCCCCCAAAGCACATACAGATTTTCGTGCAGACCAGTACATGATCTGAGTCAACGAAGGTGGACCAAAGGGATTTGCAGTCCTCTACGCTGCCAAGCCATCTGAAGCTAGTTGCAATGTGATTAATTTGATGACACGGTTGTGTTGGCGATGGGGGACGCCACGTTGCGGAACGCTTCTTCGTACGCCTAAAGTTAGTGCTCGAGAGAAACAGATGCTTCTCTTCGCACAAGGTGATAAGCCTCTCTTCGTTATCAGAGCGGTTCCCGTCGAGCGCGTGGTGACCACCAGGGTGGCGTTCGTATGGTAATAGGCGACCAACCCGTGCATCAAAATCCCCAGCAAGGACAACGACATTCGACATTTTAACATTAGTCAAGAGCTGATGTAGATCCCGGTAGAATTCGTCCTTGACAGAGCCGTTACTGCTGTCATTTGAAGCGTACACGGAGATCACAAATAAATTGCGTCTCTCTTCGCGGTGCTTGTTGATTCTACATGAACTCCGATTACGAACTGCACACAGTCGGGTGTTAATCGGGAACCAGTCCAGTGGTGCCGCCTTGACCTTGCTATTTAGTGCTGAGGCTGCTTCCGAATCTCCAGAAAGACGCAAGTGATATCTGGCTTCGTGTTCACTGGGGGATGTCAATATAAGCACAGTGCTGAGATCTTGCAATCGGGTTGCTGAAAGACAGCAGACATCAATGTCGAGGGATTCATGGGTGCACGTTAGACCGGCTTGCTGTCCAGTCTGCATAGGTGTCCTAACGTTGACGCACACCAGACGGAACGAAGATCGGGGACGAAGGAGAGCCCTAGGCTGAACTCCGTGGTTCGCGGCGCAACCAGAAACATAGCCAGATTTTGGAACATGTAAATCAGGTAACGGAACTTAAGGATTGTTAGCCAACGAACAATTGGCGTGTGATGAAGTCGCTTGAATGTGAGAAGCAGTAACGGTAGCTGATGAACTCGTTGTAGTGCAGTCCATGGTTTTGTGGGAGGGCGTGATACTACCCGGTTGCCCAATCCAAAGTGGAGAGTTGACTTAGGGAACTCCACTCCGAGCCTTTGGCTAAATAACCTACCCGCAAAGCAGCCGGGCGGATTCAGGGAATCACGTTCATTGGGAAGCGCTGACTGAATGCTCAGTTCATGCGTCTTTCGTTTGGTAGATCATTAAACAGGGACCCAATACTCCCTATGAAATCAGCACAATTGCTGGGCTACAATAACCAACCAAGTTGGAACATTGTCGCCGAACACTTCGCTGGAATGGGGTACACTCGAACCACCCAGCTAACACCACGAGGAGGTAGTTCGGCAAGTCAGCCGGACTCAGACACTCCCGACCGCATGTGCTACAGCGCCATGCGCTCGATGTCGATGGAGTACAACCCATCGGCGCCTGTCACTTCCTTACTTGCCGTTTCTCTGCATGCATGAGGTCTTTCTCTTGCACCTCGGCAACGGCCTTCGTGATCAGATCGCGCCATTCCCGCCGATCAACTGTCTTCGATTCCCATGACCTTCAAGCAAGATTAGAACCTGAGAAACTCATTTTGATCATGTCCTGGTAACGAATCTTCGGTTTCCCCACATGCCGCTTCCCAACACTCAGCTAACGATGTAATAGCTGCTTCAGTATCCGCGTCGAATCCATACGCTACACATGACCGAGCCACCTCAGGTATCTCAAAAAAAGTATGCAGTCTATTGCATACATTCCACTTCGGCGCAACACTTCCGTGTCCGCAACTCTGTCGCACTAACCGATGCGCAGAATCCGTCGCAAACACCGTTGATGGAACCGCTCGAGATATCGCACATCCCGCCGGCACCTCGTTCGCTTTTCGCTGTCGTATAAAAGAAGAGACAGCACCATCGATTTGTACACCATCACCTTCGTGCCCACGGTAAGCTGATGGTTGTTCTACACGGTACTCTAGCTTCCCGAATGTCGCCGCTGCCTTATAGACGCGGATACGAAGCTCACTGTATAGTTACTGGTCAGTCGAAAACATCCTTTCAATGTAGCGGAAGCGGGGGGTGCTTTCCAATACTACAGCACCAATGCTGATTTGCGGCACTATGGTAGATTGCATCTGCGGTGAAGGCTGTAAGAGACAGGTAGTTTTGCTTGTGTTGATGGTGAATCCGAATTTGGCCGTTGTCGAAGCCAGAGCACTAGTCGTGTGCTGCACCTCATCCGCGCTGTTTGCAAACAACGCTTAGTCGTCAGCGAACAGCAGGATACGGATGGTTGTCTCACAGACTATGGTTCTCACACCGAATCGACGGGTGTTCAGCAAACCACCATAAATACGGTGCTCCACACGAACACTGTAAGCACAAGCCGCATCAAACGCACATGACATCATGGTATTACGATAGATGTTAAACAGGGAAGGCGCTAAGACACAACCTTGCTTTACACCAGAGACAACTGCAAGGCCATTCGAGGGCTCTGCACTCAGCTGTACCCTCGCCTGCATACCACCATGCAAGCATACAATTAGTTACAAACTTACTCGGACAACTAAACTTGTCCAACACCAGCCACAATGCCTGGCGGTTCACCGTATCGAATGCTTTGGTGAAGTCAACAAACATCGAGTACAATGGCTGGTGTCGTTCTCAACACTTCTCCTGCAACTGACGAGCCGCAAACACCATACCTATAGTGCTGCTACCCGAACGGAATCCACATTGCTCTTCCGCCACGTTCGGTTCCACAATCTGACTAACTAGGCGGTTGAGCAGGATTCGGGCAATCACCTTGCCCACACAACTCAGCAAGTTGATGCCACGATAATTCGTACAATGTTGCTTGCTTCATTTGCTCTTGTACAATGCTAGCACAAGGGCATATATATATATATGTGTGTTGTAAAGAATTTCACTTAATTATCTTGTTCGGCCCTGAGTGACCCATGCGGCTCTATTAGGGTCCTCAATTTGACATGCCTGATGTAAGGTATGCTGTCCAGCTTACTTCACCCTTACTTTCTCTACCGTTACAGCGGAACGTATTGAATGGTTGCAGACATCTCCGTTTGCTTGTGCTGTTCTCTGACATCCTAATACTTGCGACACCTCGACACGTTCTACGATGGCATCAGTTGTCTGTCAATTCGAAACTACGGAGGCTGAATCGCACGATTAGACCGGGTCACCGAAAAATGTGGTATCTCAGGTTTCCTCGGCGTAATAAGCTGTCGCTGTTCCATTCCAATCATCTGAGAAATATGGATCACCAAGTGATGAAAAAGACCCTACGCAGCAGTGCCGGCGACGTTTCAACTCTCACACTAGGAAGACCTGTTGATTTACTTAATGATACAACAGTACGCTTTTCCTGTGTTGCTGTATACCCTCTGCATCACTGTCAACTGGAATGCCATTTCCGTCAGTTCAATGAAGGCCATCTGTACACCATTTGTGAATCACCAGAATTGGCCTCCGCAGTGTCCTCACCCTCAGGTACGCAGAACTTTTGAGCAATTCATTATGAGAATGTATATTACTCGACTGTGCGAGTTACAGTCCAACTACTTGAACTTATCATATGCTACAACATGATCTCAAAGTACACATGTTATTTCGGATTTTACGGAGGAGTTCAAAACCAGGTTTATGGTTTCAATTGGTTTAAATGGTAAAAAGAAAGAGAGTTTAAAAGCAGGATGAAAGTGGTTATTGAAAAAAGCACAACAGAATTATTACGGCTAACCGTGGAACAACCGACACACGGAGACCTGCTATCATGCGGGGTATTCTCCCTCGAAAGGTTTCATCCGCACTTCCACGTCCCATTCGGCTTCATGTCGGTGTGGCATAACATCAAACGAGCCATCAGCATACTAGCTCCTTTTTGTGTTTCCTATGACCGCCTAACGCATGACATTGCGTTGCTTCAGCTGGACACACATTTCGCATAACAAGATTTGCCATCCACAGTGGACACATAAACCCAGTTGTGAAGTTTCCGAATTGTCACTTGTTTGTCTCTCAATATGCCTTGCGTTTTATGATTCTACAAAGCATCATCTCGTCGGAACGTCGACTGCCCGTCGCTTACAGCTTCAGTCCTTCCCCACTTGCATTGCCAGCTGTCACCATAAGTGTTCCCACTCCTTTCAAACATGGTTCTAGTGGTTGAATTGGTCAGATTCACCTCGAATTATTCAACAATCCGATTGCGGTCATGTGTCGCAATTTAAGTATTGTTTAAGCCAAGGAGTAAAGACAAAGGTGGGTACTTTTGACCACATCGGTTCCTCCCTCTAGGATTCACGTGACTCTTGTTAACACATATAGTCACGCCATGTGTTATTCTGATGAGACTAGGGAACAGTTTTACACTGTTGGCCTCCGTCACACAGTCTCTAATGTGGGGCGACCGGATATTCCTGCCGGGTGATTTCAACGCGCGTGATGACGCAGTGTTGACAGACGTAATCCGCCCGTATCGTATTGGCACAGCCAATGGGAACGGTGACCGGCTACTCCCACTATGGTCCACTCACAGTTTGACGATTACGAACTCCCTATTTGCACTGTATGCGAGTGATATAGCTAAATGGACGCACCCACGGAGTGGTCACACGCACCTGCTCGACCATGCCATTGTACGCCTGCGTGACACGCGTGAAGTGCGCGTGATAAATGTACTGCATGGAACTGAGTGCGGCACTTATCACAAGTTGGTGCAGACTAAATCGTACATGTATTTTCGTAAATCCATGCATTATTCGTCTGTCGTGGATCACAGGCTAGGAAAAGGATGAAACTAGAGAAGACGATGACTACGCGCCTTATCAATGTCTACTGCATCGCATCAGTCGGGAAGCTGTTGAACCACATCCGAGAACTGGTGACGATTGCTGCTGGAGAAACGATGGGGCGCTCAAACTGTAAGCACTAGATTGCTTTGGTAACAACATTGCGACCAGTGGTGCATTGACGTCCGAGAAGAATCTAGCATTCGCACATGTGGCAGATCCTGCCAACTCGGAGAAAGAGTCGGTTTCGCAAGCCGACGGCGATTGACCAGAGAGCTCTGTTGCATCAAGAATGTTTGGTGGACGGAGAAGGCGGAGCAGTTGTAATGTTGTGCCAAACGCCGCCAACACAAGAAATTCTTTGAGTCCTTAGAGGCTGTGTATGGACCTACTTCGCAGCCTCTGAGGATGTTGTTGGATGCTACTTCAGGCACTGCCTGCACGCATACTGCAAGCCTAAGGTTGTTATAGTGAAAGTACTCAGATTGTCTTTTGAACAACCATTCAGAGGTTGACTGGGATATTTTACACAGGATTCAACAACAAATGATGAAGATGTGTCTTACGGACACACCGTCATTGTAAGAGCCACAGAGAGCAGTTGCTCAACGACGAAACGCCAAACGCACTGGTTTCGTCGAGATCCTGCCTGAAGTATTGAAACACGGCGGACCCATGTTAGTAAATGTGCTACACAACTTGGTGCAACACGTGTGGTTTGAAGAGAAAGTGCCAGCTAATTTGAAGGATACCCTTGTGCTACCACTGTACAAGGGTAAAGTGAGTAAGCAATATGCCATAAATTATTGTGCCATCAACTTGCTGAGTTGTATGGCGAAGATGATCGCTGGATCCTGCTCAACCACCTACACTCAGATCGTAATGGAAGAGCGATGCAGATTCCGTTCGGGACGCAACGATATTGATATGGTGTTCAAGGCTCCTCAGTAGCAGGAGAAATGTAGAGTTCGACACCCGCCAGTATACTCGCTGTTTATTGACTTCACCAATGCGTTTGACACGGCCAGCCACAGGCACTGTGAATGGTGTTAGGTAATTTTGGTTTTTTGTGTTAGTTGGTAAGTTGAGTTGAATTTCCTCACAGTGGTACGCAGGCGAGGGTGCAGCTCTCTAGACAAACCTCGCATGACTATGCTGTTGTTTCTGGCGTGATGCAAGGCTGTGTCCTAGCAACAACAACAACTACAGCAGCAGCAACAACAACAGCTGTACATCAGCTATTTGATCTGATGCTTCGCTGCCATACAACCATGACCTAAGGAATAAAGAATAATAAGGGGGAGAGAAAAGGGACTTACCTGAAAACCTTAATGCCCTAAGCAAACACTCAGGGTCAAGACGCCTACACCTTGTGTAGACAACATACCATCACAAACAGCTGGCTATCATGCAAAGATAAGGAGGCATCCGCGAGACAGCTTCCTTGTGGCTTCCATTGTTTCGCGTTAAAATAAGCCATTACTCAGCAAGTAACTCAGCATCACACACAGTTTAAACAGGCAGTCCGACTAGGAGACTGCAGCAGACCCACTATTGCTGCTGACTGCGAGCCATGTCCGGTGAAGCCTCTAGCCAAGCACAAGACGGGTCACGTGGACTCCAACCCGGAAGGCGAGACGGACCAACGGCACCCAGTTTGATTGTCAGTGGCTTCATTTCCCGCTGCCAAGTCAACTTCTGTCCACCTCGAGCCTTCCGCCACCCTACATCAGACAAACAAAACAAGTCCCTCCCCGGTAAGCAGTAAACAAGCCTACGTAGTACGTGCCAAAGCCTACGCAATTCGCTAAGTTTTGTTTGTTCATCTAAGCAACTAGCTTGGTTATCACTGTTTAGTACTCGCAAACGCACATCATCGTTGCGGACACGCTGGTACCACGTGACACAAGCAATGCTCCGCAAATAACGATGATCGAAAACTTGAAGGCGCCTCAAATCTTCAGACCGAAGGGGCTAAGTTTCACTACCATAAGGTAGGACGACCATCACTGTGGCCTTGTAAACACAACCTTTCAGACGGAGGGAAACTCCCTTCTGTCGCCAAACATGCCGCAGGTATAAGAAGGCAGTTCTGGCTTTTGAAATGCATGAACTGACTTCAGTTGCTATGCGCCCATCGTTGCTGATACGGCTGCCAAGTTAAGTGAACCAATCAAGGGTCAAGGGGTCGTTAAGTGGTTGGTGGTCCTGCAGAAACACGTTTCACTTTGAAGGTGTGAAGTGCATACCAAATAATAGGACCATCCTAGCAGGCTATTTAGGGTTGATTGGGCCTCCCCAACATCGCCAAAATGCAAGATGATATCGTCCGCATAATTGAGATCAACTGGCCTTTCACCAGCAGCCCCTTAACGCCTAAATCAGGAGATGCCCTAAGGGAACACTCCATGATAGAGTCCACGACAAAGTTAAAAAAAAACAGGGGAATCGAACAGCCCTGGCGAACGCCACTTGTTGTCGGAATGCTATCCGACAGGTCACCGTAGACCCTGACACGGCCTGTAGTGCTCGAGTACAGAGCACGTAAGATATTAGCACATTTCGTGGGAACACATTTCCGCGCAAGTGCTTCGAACAGAATGCATCGATCTACTGAAGCGAACGCACTTTTGAAGTCGAGGAACAGAGCTATTTTCGGTCTACGGTATGCGTGGCGCTGCTCTTGCACCTGCCACAAGGTGAATGTAGTCAATACAGCCACGTCCTGGGCGGGAGTCTGCCTGCTCTTCCCTAGTCCGCGACGAACGAGAATCGAAGCCAGTGACTTTGTCACAACTGTCGTTAAGCTAATACGCCTGTTTTGAGCACAGTCTGTGCGGTTGCTCTTCTTGTATATTGCCACTATAATCGAATCACCCGAGTTAGACGGGACATTCTCTTCCTCTCAGATATGTTCGAATAGGGTAGTCAATGCTTTGCAGGACCTCACCTCCATTGTTAAATAGTGCAGGTGGGAGGGAATCCGGGCCAGCAGCACGAAAACGATTGAGGGCTGTGATCGTGTTTCGGACTTCCGCCTCTGACGGAGGCTCTAAACTAACCGTCCATGGCTCGTCCTGCATCACCTGAGTAGGAAAAGGTCCGGGAGTAAGGGGCCAGCTGAAATGATCTTGAAAGTGTTCCGCCCAACGAGCCATCCGGCGCTTCTTGTTATGTATCAGTGCACCCTCGTTGTCTTTGGATGTCTAACTGGCGCCTAATTTCCTGGGACCGGTGGTGCGGAACAGCTTGCGAGAGTTCCCTACCTCTCCCGCCTCCTCCATTTCTTGAACCCGACTGATCCACCAGACATCTTAGCGCGTAGGCTCCGCTTTAGTTCGCGCTTAGTAGTCCGTCAGGTCACATTATGCCCAGAACCAGCTGGGTGTTTTCTTCTGGATTACTACAGATTCTCCGACCTCGGTTATCTAGTGATGGGTGCGGTGACGATTGATGGTGCTACAAGCAGATGCTCCTGCGTCGTACACGGCGACCGAGATCCTATTACTCTGAAGCTCAGTCATTAGAACAGGACGGCGAAAGTCCGGTACTCAGTGCCTCTTGGTAGGTTTTTCTGACTGTGGACTGAAACATTTTCTCCGATGCCAATCGGGAGGACACTTGGTACGCCTCCCAAGAAACGACAGCGTACCAAGTCATGATCAGAGTCGACACAGGTACTTCAGTACGAGCAGCAAT